TCATCACACAAGTAAAAAATTCTGGATCAGTGTTAGATTATACATGGTGCTGAGTTTTCCTGCTGCTGTCTGTCGCTTAGAGTTTTTCTTGTTGCTCAGTTTCCCATCAGTGCTGCTAGTAAAACTGGGAAGGAATTTCTGGAGATGCCTGTTTAACTCACCCCTGCTCTGGAAAGCCTTAAGCCTGGCCTGCATGTTGGTTGGTGCCTCTGTGAATATGACCATTCCCTCACAGGAGGAAGTACCATTCTCTAACTTTCAGGGAAAGCAATAGGGGTGTTCAGAGTTATGGGATGGAAAAGTTTGTTGGGCTGTGACTTTGCTTCTTTGTGGAAGAGAAGTCACAACTCTGCTTTCCTTACTGGCCGTGACATAGGTCTACAGTTGCTTATGGGACTTCGGGGATATGGTGAGGCCTTTTCTGTTGAATTTCTGTGTAATTCCAAACAGTGTGAACTTTTCAAATCACTTGAGAAGTGCCCCAGATGGTGTGACATTCTGCTTCATGGGAAGATTTGAAAGTATTCCCTTTGCATAATTTCTGGTTAACTATTTCATTGCGTTTGAAATGAGAGAACACTAAAGCCAAGAACTCTGTTGACATTTTAGTGGTGTTTGTTTAACCTCCTAGTGCACAGGCTACATTTGTTGAAAAATATTATTCTTAGCTTTGCAAATCATCAGTAATTAATTCCCTTGGAAATATCTACTGCTGCACACAGGCAGCTTGGGAGTCTGCTGACAGATCATAGTTTTACATCAGGTGCTAACAAATTGATTATTAAATTTCACAACTAACTGATTTATAGCAGCAATGTAATTTCTGTATTCACTTACTGTATTTTCAAATAGCGCAGAGTAGTTGGATTGCTTTGTTGCTTCTAATGGTGAATTGAGCAGAGCATATAAGGTCTGAGTGACTCACCCAGGGCAAGGGTCAGTCAGTGTATCACAGCCCTGTGAAGTGCACAAGATGGTTTTCAGCGGAGGTTAAGAACGTCCTTGTTCACTCTACAGGTTTTTTGTCTTTCACTAAATTGTAGCTACACCCACTAGCATGGTGAGTTTTCTAGAATTGCTGTATTGCTTGCAGTTAGAGCAGTGTATCTTGAGTCGCAGTCACCCTGTGAAGGGTAAGAAGCAGTGACTGCGTGCTCTGATGGAGCAGCACACGTTCAAGTCCCAGTGCACACTGGCGTTGTAATGGCAGACGGCGTCAGCTCACTTGGTGTGATGTAAGGCACTGACCAAAGCTATTTTAAGGAAACATAGGGGTAAATTTTCAAAACATTCTGCAAGGTTTTAACTGTACAGTGGTTCCAGAAATATCACGGTTGGAAGGGGCAGCTTGGTAATGTCAATACCAAGAGTAAACACTAACAATTTTCCTTTGCTGCTGACGCTTTTTGTAGTCCTTAGCCGTGCCTTTGATGTAGAATTACAAACTATTTTAAATGGAGGGGGGATTTTTTTTTTCCCTTGGGCTCAGGAGTAAGCCTAATGTAGATCGCAGCAATGTTTTTAATGAACTTGTGAAATCAAGGTCATATTTCTGCTATCACTTAAAAATACTCCTGTCATAAAGCAAAGCTGTAGTGCCAGATGTGTGGTGTGAATTGCCATGTTATCTTAAAAATTTTGTTCCTGCATAATGATACATTCAGTGATACAGAGCTCTGCACCACGGAGATTAGAATCTGTCATCTGTGGCTGAAATCCGTAACTCTATGGCGGCTGTTACACAGGTAATCTCATTCACTTCCTGGTGTGTAAATGTCTGGGTCACAAAAACTTAGACAATTTTCCGTAATTGGACCTTTGTTAGTTGTCTGATGAGAGACACCGATAGCTTAATGGACATGGATCCAAATCTGAGAGGTATTTTTTTGTGAGCTGAAATGAAGCATAACAGCACTATCTATTGATACAAGCTTTTAGATCTCTTTTCTGGGGCGTTTTTTAGAGAAATCAGATTTTAATCATTTTAAACCACTAATGCTAACTAATAATAAAGGAATTCTAAAAGGGAATCTGATATTGCCTGTTCAGTATGATATTAGTTCAAAATGTCTCTGTATTTAGTTTTATATTTCTTCACAGATTTTTCTAATAGCATATTGTAAATACTTTTTATGGTCTCTAATTATTTTTACTTAAAAATATAGAAGAAAATGTTTGAAAAAAACTCATGAAAAAGACTGAAGCATAACTTTATTTCTTTTATAAGAACCAATTAAACTGACAGTTTAAAAGTGACTACATTTTATAATTTTATAATTCTAGAACCATCTTTTTAATTAATTGAGCTGAAAGATTTAGGTATAAAGTGTGCATTATGCCTCTGGTAGTTATTGTGTAATTAGTATTAATGAAGGATACTACAATTTGGAGAGATGGCACACAGTTTTCATTGGTTTGGGAGCCCTTTCTGTCTTGCTATGATCTGTTACTTCAGAGTACATATGGCGATTATCAAATAGAATTATGATCTTTTAACTAGTGCCATATTTGCTTTTGCAGGGAATGGTAATGGCATTTTTTTTATGTTACTGCTGTACTCATGTGCTTCAGTTCTCATACAGGAGGCTCTTATACCAAAAATTGCATCTATATTGAAGAAATTTGATCCTTTTTCCCTGAAGATTTACAAATCTGTAAAGGCATTCTTGCTAGAGCTGTTGATAAACATTCTGAAGAGATGATGAATTATCCAAAGTTTCCACACGTGCGTTCTCAAGCTTCATAAGGCTTTGTTTTCTTCTTGTCAGATGCATCTTGGACAAGCAAAATGAAATCGAGTTTCAAGTGTTTTTGATAAAATATGCCTCAGAAGGTTGGATCCCTCTTAAAAAATATGATCCTGCATATCTTAGTAAATAGCCTGCTTGTGCTGTGTTGAGTGAGGCTGCAAAGATGAAAAAAATGCCTTTTTTGCAAGTTGAACAGAAAGAGAACCTTACCTTTAAAAGGACAGTCCTCCTTTATCTTCCCTTTCTTTCCTGCATGTAGTATATATGTGAAGATATTGTGTGTAAGTGTCACCATCCAAAAGGCAAATTAGAAATTCAGCACTTCACAAAATGAGCTTCCCAAAGTACACAGATGTTTTATACTGCTTCTGAAGCTTTTTGTTAAAATTTTCCAAGTTGGAACATGTACAGGTATTAGATTGTTAACTTCTTATTAAAGCAGACTACATTGGTAACTTCCCAGTGGGCTTGAAATTGAAATTTATTTTAATAAGGAAATACAGCCCACTGTTTATGTTGATGCTTATGCAGCTCCTTCAGTATTCATCTAAGGTACATTTCACTCCCCCAGAAATATTTTTTTTTTCAAAACTGGGCTATCAAAAATCTAGGGTTTTCAAACGTGCCTAAAGGTATCTAATTACTTAGGTTTGTTTGAAAACCTGGAGCTTCATGTTTCAGATTCTTTTCTAGAATTCCTTTTGCGGATGCTCAGCGTTGCAGTATATGTGTCCTTCAACCATGTGGGAAAATGGTATGACATCAGGTCTTCTGTCATCTCTTGTGTGTGGGGCTGTGAGGAAGTACTTGAAAAGTACAGAGGGAAATCAGCTATTTTTCCCAGTTATGCTTCATTTATTATCTCCAGAATTAGAGTTTATATTGAATGGTGGGTTTGTATCATAGGATTTGGCCAATTGCAGTAAAGACTAAATAGGCTGGAACAGGCTAAACAAACGTGACACATCTTAATGCTGTGGTGTTAGGACATCACAGATATTAACGAATGGTTAGAGTAGGAATGAAAGGTGTTTGTTTGGTTGTCGTTATTTTGTGTGACCTTTCCAACTTAATTACGTTACGGCCAGGGATGCCAGATGCAGACTCTCAGGTCTGAGGTTTCCAGCTCAGGTGCGCTTACTGAGGTTTGCCGCATCAGACCGATCCAAGGAGAAGCATACGCTATTGGTGCCAAGGTCTCTAGCAAACATGGATGGATCTAGCAAACATAGATCCATCTCAGGTCCGAGAACTAGAATCTTGCTGTGTTCCTTAAGAATTGGATTTGGAAAAAGACAATAAAGAAGAGAAAGGGTGTTTGTCCTTGATCTTTCTGTGGAGGCTGGGAAGGCTGCAACGTGTGTAGCACCCTGAGATTACAGTGGAGATGTCGAGGACCTGGAAGTTTTCTGAACGTGATTTTTTGAATGAGGGAGGTATGTGACAGTCTAAGTTCTTTTCTAGGTTAGTTTGGCAGAATCTTACCCTTTGCAAAGCAGATTAGAAATGCTTCATTTCGAGTTCCTTCATGACATTTCCATTTAAAGTGGGCTAGCTGAGTTGAGCGAGGAAGGATTCTGTATCAAGGATGTCAAATGTGTGTTTTTTGTTTTTTCCACTAAAGATTACAGTTTCTAGAGGAAGTTTTTCTTTTCCAACTCAGTCTTTATCAAGCTGTATTTTTTTATGCTGTGTTTCACAAGCTGCGGAAGTATAAAACCTGGGCATATGCCTTGCTGCATTGTGACTTTTTTCCACGCTCACTTTTGCCCCACCCGTTGTGCAGATGCCATGATTAAACGTGTCCCCCACAGATGGAAGTGAGAGATGCTGCTCCTCCCATAGGGAAAGTTTCTTGCTCTGCTCAGCACCTTGAGATGGATGACACGGTGTGACGGGCTAATTTGTTCAAGTAGATTTGGATGGTGAGACACAAAAATAAATATCGAAACACCACCTTCCTCGCCCTCCCTGCCTCTACTGTCGCTTTCCCAGAGGCACCCCTGGCCTTGCGGAGGGGCTCGGCCGCGCCTGCACGGGGCGGCAGACGCTGGGACTGGCCGGGGCTGGG